TCTTGCTCTGTAGCCCAGGCTGGAGTGCAGTGGTGCGATCTCGGCTCACTGCAAGCTCTGCCTCCGGGTTCACGCCATTCTCCTGTCTCAGCCTCCTGAGTAGCTGGGACTACAGGCACCCACCACCTCGCCCGGCTAATTGTTTCTATTTTTAATAGAGACGGGGTTTCACCATGTTAGCCAGGATGGTCTCCATCTTCTGACCTTGTGATCCGCCCGCCTCGGCCTCCCAAAGTGCTGGGATTACAGGCATGAGCCACCATGCCTGGCCTCTGTTTATTTCTTAAAACTGCATGTGAGCCTTCAGTTATTTCAAATTAAAAGTATAATTTAAAAAAAAAATTACTTCCTCTCCATTTAAACATACACATTTTGTTCCACATTTTAATACCCTCAAAATCAAGATGCATCTCGAAAGTGCTGTTGGAGCATTATCATTGCCTATACATGCACAGTCATTAAAAGCATCCGCTTCAAAACTCACAGAATGGAGGCGGTGGCTAGGAAGAAAATCCCCTAGGATGTGAGGAATGGGGGTGTGGAATCCCATGCGCTTAGCTACATTCCTGAAGTGGGAGCTCACTCAGTGAGCCTGACATTATTGCAAAGCTGGCTAGAAAGTCAAGCCCCACCCTCACTTAATTCCTTTACAGATTCTTTCTTTTCCCTTTTTTTTTTTTTTTTTTTGGAGATGGAGTCTTGCTCTGTCACCCACGCTAGAGTACAGTCGTGTGACCTCGGCTCACTGCAATCTCTGCCTACCGGGTTCCAGTGATTCTCCTGCCTCAGCCTCCCAAGTAGCTGGGAATACAGGCGCCCACCACCATGCCTGGCTAATTTTTGTATATTCAATAGACAAGGAGTTTCGCCTTGTTGGCCAGGCTGTTCTCGAACTCCTGACCTCAGGGGAACCACCTGCCTCAGCCTCCCAAGGTGCTGGGATTACAAGCATGAGCCACCACGCCCAGCCTCTTCCTTTTCCTAATAGACTTTCAGTTTTGAAATAATTTTAAATTTACATTAAAATTGCAAAGATGGGCCAGGCGCAGTGGCTCACGCCTGTAATCCAGGCACTTTGGGAGGCGAAGGCGGGCAGATCGCTTGAGGTCAGGAGTTCGAGACCAGCCTGGTCAACATGGAGAAACTCTGTTTCTACTAAAAATACAAACAATTAGCCAGGCGTGGTGGCATCTGCCTGTAGTCCCAGCTACTCGGGAGGCTGAGGCAGGAGAATCGCTTGGTTTTTTGTTTTTGTTTTTTTAGTAGAGACAGGATTTCGCCATGTTGGCCAAGCTGGTCTCAAACTCCTGACCTCATGTTGAACAGCCTACCTGGGTCTCCAAAGTGCTGATTTAAATATATATACATTTGTGTTTGTTTTGTTGTTGTTTTGTTTTGTTTTTGAGATGGAGTCTATTGGCCAGGCTGGAGTGCAGTGGTGTGATTAGCTCAC